TTCCTGCCAGGCTCCCAGGCTCCCAGGCAGGGTGGCTCCAGTGAGAGGCAGCTCCCACCACCCAGAGCTGGCCTCTGAGGAGCTGGTGAGCACACAGCTGGGGGCAGGGGCAGGCAGTGCCCATGAGGAGAGAGCAGTGGCAGGGGAGCAGAGGAGAGCCAGGCTGACCCATGAGGAGATGCACTGGACACAGCACTGCTCATCTATCACCACAGCAACGTGGGAAGAGCCTCTGGCTGTGAAAGACTGGGATGAATAACTGCTCAGGACCATGATCTAGTCCTCCCTAGTAACATTAAAATATTGAGCAGCCATGTTGGAGCTGGAGACAAAGCAAGCAGCAGAAGGCACAGGATTGATCCTGCAGGACAGTGCCCTTGTAACTGCTGGGGATTAGTGAGGAGGTCAGAATAAGGCCCATGAAGAATAAGTGACTTACAGAAAAAGGGGCTGGAGCTGCTGTGAGGAAGCAGCAATATCAACCAGCACTTTTGGTGGCTCAGAGAGGAAGGGCTCCACCTTCTGAGCATATTTCATTAGCTCAGCACCCTGTGAGCTCTTGCTAGTCCTACTGTGACTGTTGGGCATGTCTGGAAGGGCTTCTGCTGCAGTAGAAATCACTGTGCCTGCTCTGAGTAAGACCAAACTTGCTGTGAGACCCTCCTGGAGGCCAGGCTGCTGTTAATGCAGGGTTCATCTGAGGGAACTTGACTTCTGGTTCTGAGCCAGGTAGCTGGCTGTCCTTGCCCACACTGAGCTGCAAACCAGCATGCTGCTAGGCCTGAGCTCTGCTCTCACTTATTCCAGAGGAGCTGTAGAAAACCAAAAGTCCTTATGGGAGGATGGCTGACAAAAGGTGGGATACACCTGCTAGGAAAGATACAGGTAGGGTGGGTGCTGCCTCAAAGCCCTTCCCAACCTATTCCCTGTATTTCTGCCTTTAGTCTCTTTTTATGTCTAATTCTCTGTGTTTTATCATTCACTTTTTATGTATTCATTGCATTCCTCAGGAAGTGAAATGAATAATGGACACATTATTTTTTAAACTACATAAGTAATTAATGTGGGAAAGCCCTAAACAGGCCAGGAATCTGGCACTTCAGGAAAGCCTAGGTTTAAGTTTGAAGCTAAATTGCTTGCTGGGGTGAAATCAGAGTCTCGCTGGAAATACTTTTCCACACCTCTTGGCTTTGAGGAAACTGCAAAGTCAGCTCTGAGTCAAACTTTGTAGCTTTGGTTGTCTGGAAGAAATGCAGCTTTGAGTTACTGGAGATGTGCTGCAAATCACACACTGGTCTCTGCATTAAGGACTGCTGTTAAAAAACCATTACAGATAAAGCCATTGTTGCCTGCAGCCCGCTGTGCCCTGCACTCAAGCTCCAGCATAACAACCTCTCCTGAACTCAGTAAGTGGTTTAGGACCTTCAGCTTGCTTGGAATAGGGCCTGGAAGCTGGACTCTACAATGGCTTAATGCAGACTGGACTAGAGCAAGAGCAATTAGTCACAGGGCAAACAATTCTGGTTCTGCAACAAGAGGCAGCGAGTAGAAAATGCAAAGAGAAGACATTCCTTGAAACTAGCAGGACCTCAAACAGGCAGCCACACACAGCAAAGGTGACAGAGCTGCCTCTTGGCTGCACAGACTTCCCAAACTCTGATCTCTCAAGCACACGCCCATGGTGACTCAATGGTGCAGATGTGCTCCTCACTAGACTCCAACCCCACCTAACAGAAATGATAATCTCTCTGACAGAGCCTGGTGTGTGGAGCTCCTGAGCAAATGTGCCAGCAGTGAAACTACAGGCTTTGTTCTGCTCCTTGCACGTCCCAGTAGGCAAGAACAAAAACCTGGGAACTGAAGTCCTGCAAACAGGCAAAATACCTGCAGCCTGGTAAGATCCAGGCTATCTGTATGAACAGTGACATATGTATGCTTTTATATAGAGAGAGAGAGTATGTATACATAGCCATGCATACACATCATGGGTATTTAAATTATTTCTTCCTGTTAGTCTCCAAGAGCCCCACTGATGTCAGAGGGAACGTGCACATTGGCTTAGACAGGAGTGACACTGGGTCCTCAGTGAAGAGCAGGTTTTCTCAGGGTAGCAAACAGCCTCTGGCCATCTGCCCCGTGCTCCTCCCAGGAGCTGGCCCTGGGCCAGGCAGGTTCACTCCCACACTTCCTTGCCACCTTTGCTCTGTCTCCTCGATTTGTGCTGCTGTGGCAGCCTGTGGACATGCATCTGAAATAAGGACCATGGTGCACTCTGAATGGGCTGTTCCTTTTGGCCCTGGGCCCCTCTGTATGAACAGCCCTTTCTCTGCTCCCTCAGAGAACATCTTTCTTCCTTTCCATTTCCAAATAAAAAGTCTGAGGAGTGACTCCTGGCTGAGCAAAGGCCAATGATGCAGGCTGTGAGTAATCAAAAGGTGCAGCCTGCACAACTGAGGGCAAAGAGGGGTTAATTCAAGCACTCATGTGCCTGTTACCTGTGGGATTGCTTTTATGAGATACAGAGGCAAATAGAAAGTACATAGTATTTCCAGAAAGCACTCTGCTGATCTTCTAGACACAGATATACAGATACTTTGCTTGGAAGTGAGGAGCTGTGGTGCCAAGCACCCAGAAAAGGGCATGATGCCACCAGCCAGCTAGAGCTGTAGTGCTCTGGGCTGCTAGGAACAGACTCCTGGCTTCTCCTGAGCTGCCAGCCACTGCTCCTCTGCAAGGCAGCATCTGCTTCTCCTGAGCTGTAAGATCAAAGGGGAGTCTAAGCCTGGATCCAGTGTGGTATTGAGAAGCAAGGTTTTCCCCACCAGCAGAATTCCTGAGTCCTTACACCCACTCTGAGCACAGCCATGCCCCTGAGAGTGGTGGCATGCTGCAGTTTAGGTACAAGAGGTGTCAGCCCCAGACAGGTCTGGATAGCATCCAACTCTGAGCACAGGATTTGATCAGAAATGCACTTCATAGGTCATAAAAGAAATAATCAGAAATCTCCTTATGATTACAGGTTTTAGAAGATGAGTGTCCGAGGTCATTTTCACATGGATATTCTTATGATTCCCTTTCCCCCAGCTATAATTCATATTTTTGACACCTGCAATTTCTAAGAAGCCTACAGACATTTTTGTGAGCCTGATGCTCTTCCTCATCTGGTTGGTGCAAAGAGCTTGTCCTTTGGGGCCACTGCCTCGGGCAGAGGAGTTGCTGGCTGAAGAACCAGGGAGGCAACCAGAAGAGTGGAGAGTTTTCCATCTGTGCCAAATTTCTCTCCAATTTCCCCTGAAGGTCTCTGCCCTGCCTCTAGCTCATTCACATCTGCTCTCTGTAATATTTCACAGGGCCACAACAGAGGAGTTGTCCACTGCTGCTGTAGCTATTTTTCACTGAATCCACCCCCACACAATGCTTGGCTGCTCCTCCAACACATGAGCTGGAGCATCTATGTCATAGAACCTAAGGCTAATAGTGGG